GCACTTGCCATCATTTTTGGTGACTCTGACTTTCGTGCAATGAGACATCTAATTTCGTGAACTCTCAGTTGCTTACCTGCCTCATCTCCACTGAGACTGTCCTCCACTCCACCTTGTCATCCACTCCCACATACACACTGAAGACCTTCTTGTGAGTAGTGACCGTAACCTCAAAGTCTTAGCCTAAAGCTTAGCAAACTCTGACCCCTGCCAACTTTCCCATCCGTTTCCTTTTCTGACTTCACTCTAGCAATTCCTTGACTCCCTGGGATCCTAACATGGAGCCCAGACACAGTTTCACTATCCATCACCCCTGTTTCCCTTATTTTCAAATTTAAATTTCATCACTATTTATTCTTGAATACACCCTTGCTTCTCATTCCTCTCATTGCACTTCCCTGAAAATAATCTGATTCGTGTTGGTTAAAGTCAACTTTCTACTCATTCTACAGTTGCATCTTAGAAGCTAAACACAGCTGGAGAAAAACATCAGGTCTCATTTTGAATTCATCATTGCAGATCTCAAGTAGGTCCCCAGATGTAGACAATGTTTCATACCTTTCCACTGTTCTCAAACTTCTGGCATCTCCTTACTTTCAGTCTGTAATTTTGCTCCTTCTTTCACTGATAAAACAGAAAAAATGAGAAGAAGACAGCTCCAAATTTCCATCAGAACATCTACCAACCTTTGCCTCTAAAGACTCAGCCATTCCAGTTAGGACAATGGAAGCATTGCTTATGCTCCTGTCTGAAGCCAACCATTCCACTTGAATCTGAGTTTTTTTTCCTAGACTTTTCCATTCTCTCTCTCTCTTAAAATGTCAAAGTTCCCTTCCCTATTGGCTCATTCTTAATAACATGCAAGCATGTGCCATTTTAACAACAAAACCTCCTCTCTTCTGCCCAGTTGACCCCTTTAGTAGCTAAGCTCTTTGAAAAAGTGTATAGTTAACTATCTCAGTGACCCTACCTCCCATTTTTATTTTTGAGCCCACTTCAAAGAGCTTTGTCTTCACCACTTTTCCTAATTCCACTCTTGCTGAGATCCATGATATCCATGTTCCCAAATCTAAGATCCAGTCTCTGTCTTGGCATTCATCTCTTAGTAGCATTTGCGCTGTCAATCACTCCCTCTTTCTTGATGCCCTTTCTCCCCTTGACATCCAGGATACTGAGATGGACTTCTCTCCTTAAATCTGGGCTCTGGCTCTCTATCTAATAGCTCCATTTGTATGTCTAATTAGCATTCAAAACTGAACAGGATTGTTGATTTCCACCCAATCCTCTGTCTGAATCTTGGCTTAGTCACTTAGGAGTTGTGAGATATTGGAAAAAAACGTTCAGTATCTCAGTGCCGCGGTATCTTATTTGTAAACTAGGCAGAAAATACCACCTACTTGATAATATTTGCAGTAATGGCTCATATGGTATAGAATCTACCTGCAGTGTAGGATATCTGAGTTCAATCCCTGGGTCGGGAAGATCCCCTTGAGAAAGAAATGGCTACCCACTCCAGTGTCCTTGCCTGAAGAATTCCATGGACAGAGGAGCCTGGCAGGCTATAGTCCATAGGGTCACAAAGAGTTGGACACAACTGAGTGACCAACACTTTCACTACTTTTCAAGGATTACATTAGGTTATAACATGAAAAGCATTGATCTTAATCCAGGCATAGAGTAAGTGCTCAATAAATGGTAGTGCTTAAGTCCTGATCCCATCCTGGTGTCTCCTCTTGAGTGCTCTTCATTCACAGAATTGACATCAACCAGTCACTCAACTCAGAACCTGATATCACCCTTGATTCCTTCCTACTCCTAACCTCTCACATCAATTAATAACCCAGAACTCTCAAGTCTGCTTTTTATATGTTTCTCAATGCACCCTTTCCTCCATTCCTCCTGCTCCTTCTCAGTTCCTCATTTGTCCGGCTGTGGCTTCCTATTGGTTCTCAAGTCCTTTCTCCCCCTGCAGCCAGACTGAAGTGATTTAAAATGCTTCTTGTATCTTATTTGTAAACTAGGCAGAAAATACCACCTACTTGATAATATTTGCAGTAATGGCTCATATGGTATAGAATCTACCTGCAGTGTAGGATATCTGAGTTCAATCCCTGGGTCGGGAAGATCCCCTTGAGAAAGAAATGGCTACCCACTCCAGTGTCCTTGCCTGAAGAATTCCATGGACAGAGGAGCCTGGCAGGCTATAGTCCATAGGGTCACAAAGAGTTGGACACAACTGAGTGACCAACACTTTCACTACTTTTCAAGGATTACATTAGGTTATAACATGAAAAGCATTGATCTTAATCCAGGCATAGAGTAAGTGCTCAATAAATGGTAGTGCTTAAGTCCTGATCCCATCCTGGTGTCTCCTCTTGAGTGCTCTTCATTCACAGAATTGACATCAACCAGTCACTCAACTCAGAACCTGATATCACCCTTGATTCCTTCCTACTCCTAACCTCTCACATCAGTTAATAACCCAGAACTCTCAAGTCTGCTTTTTATATGTTTCTCAATGCACCCTTTCCTCCATTCCTCCTGCTCCTTCTCAGTTCCTCATTTGTCCGGCTGTGGCTTCCTATTGGTTCTCAAGTCCTTTCTCCCCCTGCAGCCAGACTGAAGTGATTTAAAATGCTTCTTTGCTCATATCACTCCTCTTCAATTTCTCCCCACTGACTTTAGAAAAAAGGTCTGAATTTCTCAGCGTCACTATGCCTACCAATATAATACAAGTCACTTCAGTTTGGCCTAGGCTCCCTTTTCAAGCTTCCTGGCTCATCCCTCTTTACCTAATCTCTGAATCCAAGGTTCAGTTTTTCTGAACCATTTGTTATCTTCAAAACTTGCCATGGTTTCTTATCTCAAGGCTTTTGTGATATATGCAGAACCTTTTTTTCTAGGATACTGTGCTGCCCACTCATCCTACCTCTTTACCTGGCTACACATACATGAGGGTTCAGTTCAGATATTTCCAACTGTAAGAGGCTAGGATGATTTTCCTGTTCTGAGTTGACTGCCCACTCTTGCTAGTGCTTACATTATTTCCTGTACTTTGCTTATGATTTCCTGTTTCAATTATCTGTTTCCTCACCAGACTTTGAGCTCCTGGAGGGAGGGACCTCATACTCAAAACCCTTAAAGGAATACATCTTTAATCCTTTGACCTTGAAATACTGTCAAGTTTCTTGATATTTTAGGTGTGCTCTTAATTGGATGGAGTGTGCTCAGTTGTGTCTGACTCGTTGCAACCTCGTGGACTGCAGCCCTACAGGCTCCTCTGTCCATGGGGTTTCACAGGCAAGAATACTGGAGTGGGTTGCCATTTCCTATTCTAATCAGATGGAGTGCACATGTACTTTAAAGTGTGCCTGAGCATTAGTTCTTTTGATATTTGTAATGAGACTATAGGATTCTGTGGTCTTGAAGATTCTTTAGTAATTCTAAAAGGCCAGGAAGGACTCCCTAGAGTATTGGGCTGTGTGGGGCCAGGGTGCCACCCACCAGAATGTAAAGGCTGAAGATGCTGGGTGATTCTGAGACCACACGTACTCAGTCTAAGATAGGAGCAAGGGACTTTCTTTCCAGTTTTCCATCTATTTTAGAAACCATGCGGACACTGTCTAAATGGAAAGTTATGAACGTATTTTCTTTGGAGAATGTCTAATATTCATTTTCCACCCCAGTTTCTGAGAATAATGGAGAAGACAAGATAAAACAGTTAAATGGTGCCACTCCCAAAAGGCCACTTGCTCCACTTCACAATCCTGTTCCTGCCACCCTTTAGCGAATAGTAGTTCCTACAGTAGCACCCACCTTGGTGTGTTAACAAGGCCTCATGCTCAGCAATGGATGCTGCTGCCGGCCTTGCTGACTGTTAAACTGTTGAGCAGTTGTCTGGCATTTAGATGAAACTCATGCCAGGGAAATACACTCAGTCATGAGTTTTTAGAGAAATTAGTTTATCTAATCTGGATGCCTCTGTGGACAAAAACTGCTGCCTGCTGTATCAGTAAACAAAGGTTGTTGTAGCCATCAAGCTAGCAGTCACTGCAGACATGACCTGTGCCTACTGAGGGGATTCAGGATGGACAAAAACAGGATGCGAAGGTGCCTATCAAAAGAATGACTTCATTGAGCCTAGACTCTTGCATTTTCCCATGCCGAGAAAAGCACTTAATTCGTTAACTTGGGGTGTCTGGTTTCTTTAATTAATGATAATCTTTGATGTTGCAACTATGTGGTTTTTGTGCAAAACTCTTGTGTATCCTGGCGCCTTACTTTCCTCTTGGAAGCAGTCACTCAGAGTTATTTGAGAGGCTGCCTCCTGGGCTTAAGTGCTCAAAAAGTCCACCAAACAAAATAAAATATAATTTTCAACTTTAGATGGTGCATTTATTTTAACTACTACGCCTTACTGGGTCAACACTATTCCATGCTGGGTCTCTGTGCTAAGCAGTAGTGACACAAAGGGGGACAGGATGCAGCCTCTGGCCTTTAGGAACTCACCATCTAGAGGAGGAGACAACAAATACGACAGTGTGGGATGTGACATGGTGGAGGGTAGGAAGTCTAGGTGTAGGAGTAGAGAGGCAAGATACCTAATTGACCTGAAGCATCAGAGATTTCTGGAAGAATCTGAAGGAGGTGAACTTCAAGATGTCTTAAATAGTCTGGCAAAAAAAAAAAAGTGGGAGGGGAGTTAATGAAAAGAGCATTAGGGTTAGAGGAAAAAAAAGTAAAGGCATATGTGGATGTCTGATATGAGAAGGGATGGCATCAGAGATGTGCAGCTCCTATGCATTTTCCTGGGGTATGACGGTGTGGAGAGGGAAAAAGGGAGAAAGAGTGGTGGCAGGGGCCACAACATGAAGATCTTGCATGAGGCAGGGAATCCTCTGGTATCTAAGAGCCTTCCCTTTACTGAAATTCTAGAACACACAGGTGCCTGGCAGTATTGGGGGTTGGAATATTGCTCAGTGTGATAAAGGGGCTGAAGATACTAAAGGATTCTGAAACCATCTCTACCTGTTCTAAAGTATCCAGGTAGCTGATTACACTTGTTCCTTTTTCTGCTGTGTTGTTTGAAAACCATGTAGACACTATTTGAACAAAAAGTTATGGAATCTCCATTCTGTAGAGATTTGCTTGAATTGTGAACACACTGGGGAGCCATTGAAGATGATTAAGCAAGGAAGTAAACTGGTTTATGTAGTCTTGTAAACAGGTCAGTCTGCAGGGGTAGACAGGATGTATTTGAGGGCAGGGGCAGGAGGCAAGAGGACTGGTGTCTTCATGGGCCATCTGCAAGTAATGGAAAAGTCATGATGCCTTCACATTCCTTCAGCAGGCATGTGCAGGATGCCCAGCAGCCACATCCAGCATCACGGCTGGAGCCAAGTGCTGGATGGCAGAGGGTGAGTGATGCCTTCAGAGTTCCAACAGAAGCAGACTGCAGCCCTTCCTGCTTGGGCACTCTGTCTTCCCAGTCACCCACTGCAGCCCCCATCATCATAGTCACCTTGCCCTGTATCCTGACTGCCCCACCTCTGGCCCAATCCAACTTGCTCCAGTCCCAAGCTCCTTACCCTCCTGTGCTTCTCTTGCTTGCTCTGTTTCTGACACTGGCACCACCCTCCACTCATCTTCCCACACTAGAAGCCCTTTTTCTCTCCATGAACTACATCCCAACAACCTTGGAGTTCTGCCAATTTTACTTCCTAAATATTTCTGGACTCCATTGCCCTCAGTCCCAGCATTTGTTTCCCATGGACTGAGTTACCACCAGCGATTCCTAGTTATTCAGCCTCTATAGGCTCTTGTCTGTTGGGAGCTTGTCAATAATGCCTTTCTGAGGTGCCCTTCTGATTCCTCTTATTTCTCTACACCAAGTGAGTTCTATTCCCCTTTTAAAGCAAACTAGGAATTGAACCCTCCAAGAAACCTGACTGGGCCAGGGGACCTTCAGGTTCCAACAGCCTCTTGGCTTCCTTTCTTATAGCATTCTACAATGGCAGTATAATTGGCTTCACTCTTCTCTTCATACATTCCCAGAGGACAGGATTCTGTTGCATTTGTTTCTGTGCGGTCCAAAGAACGTGGAACCCGAGACCAGTCAGGCTTGACTGGTGCCAAGCACTTATATATTTGCTGAAGAAATAAATGAAACAGTAGGCAACATTACTGAATCCTGGTGCCTGGTCCTGTGCTTACTTGACTTAGATGGTCTTTTTGGGCTTCGTATTATCCCTATCAGGGAGGTGTTATTACTCGTATCCTTCTTTATAGGTGGAAAAATAGAGGTTTACAAGTGTCAGAGCCAGGATTTAATCCCAAGAAGACTTACCCTGGAGCTTGTGTTCTTTATCATAATTGAAATCATCCAATACCACACTGAAGAGAGCTGAGATCCCTAGGGCCATTATCACTGCGGAGCAATTGCCCTCTGGAAATGAAATTTGGGGGATCCAATGGATTCAGGTGATTTTCCTGGTTGGCCTTCAACAGCTGGGGAACTGAGTGAATTTTTAATCCACTCTCTGCCTTACTCCTGGGCTACAAGTCTGACTGCTCTTCAGACCATAGCCAGCCAAGTCTCACCTCTCCTCTTCCCTCTGCCTCTGGTCTGGGGATGGGAGTGTTGAATGACCTTTTCCTTCCAAGCTGCCTCAGATGTAACTTGCTGGGGACTCGGGGTGAATAGTGTGGAAACAAACCCTAAAATCTGACGCGTCCCAAAGCCTGACCTTGCTGAGGTCAGGGAGCTTCTCCCCACAGCCTGGCTCACCCTGCTCTCCAGCTTGAGCCGTCAATCCACCCTACCCCAAGGCGAGGGAGGTGGAGGTACCTCTCTGTCTTTCATCCTGCTCATTGCTTAGCTTAGCTCAGGCCTGGGACACAGCAAGGAGCTCGATAAATATTTGCTGAATTCAATTGAAAACCATCCTGCAAGCAGAGACCAGTGATTTACTGTCTAGCCTGCTGGGGGATGTTCCAGCCATTCCCAAAAGGGGGGTTTTGTGGGAGATGTCCACTGCCTCTGCCTCCTAGAGTCCAGGGAGGGTAAACTCCCCATGAGACCCAGAAGATTAATACAAGAAAAAAGTCATCATAATACCTTTATTGTTCCCATTGAAGCCATTTTCACACATGGCAGTCTGTTAAGAAGCAGGATTGACTCATGTTTATTTCCACATCAGAGAATCAAATCTGTTTTTGTAAAGGTTTGGGCATCCTGAAAAAAAAATTGTGTGTGTGTGTGTGTGTGTGTGTGTGTGTGCGTGCATGTTGAGTATTTCAGGGATAAAGGGATTAACTTCTCTGGGAGCACACAATTCTTAGGGGGGGGTTTGTGGATAAAAGTTTAAGACTGTAATATCTGAAATATGATTCTTTGTTCAAGATCTAATTGATGGTCATCTTACAGACACTTGTAATTCAGTCCCCTTGATTGTAATTTTTTACAAAAGCAATAAGAAGAATAATTTCCAAGAAGAGGAAAGATTCCCAATATATGTCCTCTTTAGCTTCCTCTGGAGTGAACGGCATTAGCCATGACCTTGTCTGCAGGTAGAGGAAGAGGCCAGCTGCTCACACTGCAGATTTGTGGACTTCCATTTATTTCCAAGCTGCCAAGTGGCTTGGGTAGAGCACTGGACTCAAAGGGAGGCAGGACTTTACAGCTGGGAGGGCAGAGAGCCTAGAGCTTGGCAAAGAGTACTCTACTGGACCAGGCCAGGAGGCACTTGGCAAATGAAAGGATCTGATGGCCAGCAAAGCACATCATGGTCTGAGGACAGAGGCACAGTGTGGATTCCAAACTGCTTACAACCAAGGACTTGGGTGGAAATGGCCAAATCAGACACTTGTCAAGCACGACCAGCATGTAAGCAATTTAATTTGGAGAGCTCTGTCCAGGCGACAGGAGCACAGCTTGTCCAGAATTCCCATCTCTCTCTCTATCCCCACAGCCTGGCTCACCCTGCTCTCCAGCTTGAGCCATCAATCCACCCTACCCCAAGGCGAGGGAGGTGGAGGTACCTCTCTGTCTTTCATCCTGCTCATTGCTTAGCTTAGCTCAGGCCTGGGACACAGCAAGGAGCTCGATAAATATTTGCTGAATTCAATTGAAAACCATCCTGCAAGCAGAGACCAGTGATTTACTGTCTAGCCTGCTGGGGGATGTTCCAGCCATTCCCAAAAGGGGGGTTTTGTGGGAGATGTCCACTGCCTCTGCCTCCTAGAGTCCAGGGAGGGTAAACTCCCCATGAGACCCAGAAGATTAATACAAGAAAAAAGTCATCATAATACCTTTATTGTTCCCATTGAAGCCATTTTCACACATGGCAGTCTGTTAAGAAGCAGGATTGACTCATGTTTATTTCCACATCAGAGAATCAAATCTGTTTTTGTAAAGGTTTGGGCATCCTGAAAAAAAAATTGTGTGTGTGTGTGTGTGTGTGTGTGTGTGTGCGTGCATGTTGAGTATTTCAGGGATAAAGGGATTAACTTCTCTGGGAGCACACAATTCTTAGGGGGGGGTTTGTGGATAAAAGTTTAAGACTGTAATATCTGAAATATGATTCTTTGTTCAAGATCTAATTGATGGTCATCTTACAGACACTTGTAATTCAGTCCCCTTGATTGTAATTTTTTACAAAAGCAATAAGAAGAATAATTTCCAAGAAGAGGAAAGATTCCCAATATATGTCCTCTTTAGCTTCCTCTGGAGTGAACGGCATTAGCCATGACCTTGTCTGCAGGTAGAGGAAGAGGCCAGCTGCTCACACTGCAGATTTGTGGACTTCCATTTATTTCCAAGCTGCCAAGTGGCTTGGGTAGAGCACTGGACTCAAAGGGAGGCAGGACTTTACAGCTGGGAGGGCAGAGAGCCTAGAGCTTGGCAAAGAGTACTCTACTGGACCAGGCCAGGAGGCACTTGGCAAATGAAAGGATCTGATGGCCAGCAAAGCACATCATGGTCTGAGGACAGAGGCACAGTGTGGATTCCAAACTGCTTACAACCAAGGACTTGGGTGGAAATGGCCAAATCAGACACTTGTCAAGCACGACCAGCATGTAAGCAATTTAATTTGGAGAGCTCTGTCCAGGCGACAGGAGCACAGCTTGTCCAGAATTCCCATCTCTCTCTCTCTCTTTTTCTTTTGAGTTATCAGTTTTTATAGGATATGTGCCCCAGTCTATGAAACCCAGAGGACTATGTTTCATTGCTTAGAACCACAAATGTATCTCTTTTCTCTAGAAGTCCATTTTAATTTCCCTCAACACCATATCCAATTTTATTTTTATTAAAAGTAAAAATTCTGTGCCTCTCTCCAGTGCTTTTGCCATCTATGGAAGCATATTTTTCTCCTTAGTCTTTGGACAGGTGCGAGATTTAGAGTTTCTCACCAGCTGGGACCATCTCTACTCCACAGGAGTGGAGGTCATCTGGAGGGAAAGGTCTTGGTATGAATTAAGTCAAGTTGCCTCGTGGATTTTCTCAGCACCCACTCCATTCTATTCTTCTCTCATCTCAACAGTGCCTGGAGAGGCTTCCACCTACTCCCCACCAATCTCATCCTGTGCAAAAATCCCAGGTGGAAATAAACTAAGAGTTTCAGCAGAACTGCAATGATATGATTCAAAATAATGTGCTGCTTTGGCTATTTTCAGGTTTACAAGACCATTTGTTTTCCTAAGACCCTGCTTTGTAGCTGGATGAGATGTATTTGGAGAGGCAGCACTTGCAGGGATAATCCAGAACTGGAATCTCAATGTCTCTCAATCCTTTCTTGCATTGAAAACCCAGCTGGCAGGAGGAAACCCTGAATCTGTGGATGGGAGCTATATGTGAGATGCCTTTGTTGCTCCTGTGGCCACAGTAGCAGTACACTCCAAATGGCATGTGGCCGCTCTCTTTGGTGTTTTACGAAACTGTCTGTCATGGGCTCTAGTTAATCATCATTTTCCCCACAATTTAGTGAAAACTGGCAGGCAAAGATGGTCTCCTTTTTCATAGCCTTGATCACATGTTGATCCCGATTCCAGGACATTAGCCCCTGAGGTCTGGAATCATGGATTCTGGAAGGAAATTCTCTTCTGAGTCAGCCTCGGTTGTGAATGGTCCTGCCCCTGCTTTCCTACCTGAGTTGTTTGTTTTTTCCTCTAAAACCTCATCCAGGACTCAGCTTGCTCTCAGGTCAACCAGGAGTCCTGTCTATGCTGGAAGTCTCTCTTCCGTGAACTGGTGACAGTAACACAGCACACAGCTGTGAAAACACAATGGTGGGGGGTGCGGTGGTGGAGATCTGCTGGACTTGGGAAATTTCTCCCTCGGAAAGTGACAAAACAGAGACTAAATCAAGAACATGCCCATACTTGTCCCTGACCTGAGTGTGACAAATTAGGCCTCAGAGAGCAGTGAGCTTTTTAGATAGCACTCCACACCCGTGTCCTGGGGAGCCACCAACAGTTGTCTCAAATACCCTTTGAGATATATTTGGAAGGCAGATTTTTGCAAGTCCCATGTGTCCTGCTTTGTGATCACCCACTGTGCCACTTACTCCAACGTCCTCCTGGTCCTCCTGCTTCCTGGGGAAATGGAGACTGCTGGTGAGAAACACAGAGTCCCTCTGCCACCCTGCACTGGCCCAAAGCCAGCTGCCCTGACAAAGCAAAACTTGCTGACTCCCTTCATAAAACTAACTGGGGGAGGGGGGAGTATCTGTCATGTGGCATAGCTGAGGAGGGAAGGCAGGGTTTAGCAGCCTTGATTCCGGTCTTCCGATGCTCAGCTTCTCCCTGGGGACTCCTGGCAAGTCACTGCTGCCATCAGCACGGTGGTCTCAGGTGGTGCCACTCCCTGTCTAAATTTTAATGACTTGCAGCTTTTCACTTATTTCCCTGTGGGCAGTGCCTGGTAACAGGCAGGAATATTTAACCAAGACTCCTCTACAAGCTCCTGAATAAGACTAGGGAAATAAGCACGCAGTAACTGGCAGTGCAGTCCAACCAGGTGTCCCACGAGATGCCTCCTGAACAACCTTCCACAGCCAGAGGCCATCTCCACCTCCCTCCCCGGTCAGCACACCCAAATCCCTCCTCTTCAGGCTCTTCTAAGGACACTGCCCCTCTTCAGTCCCTGGTTCTTCTTCCAAGATATAA